TGTGTGTGTGTGTGTGTGTGTGTGTGTGTGTGTGTGTGTGTGTGTGTAGAGTCTCTACAGCCTTTAAAACTATAAATCTGGGTTGAAGAGATCAGGTTAAAGCACTGGCTGCTCCTTGCAGAGGATCCTGGATTCAATTCCTAGCACCGAATAGCAGCTCACAACCATCTTTGTTAACTACAGTTCCCAGTAATCTAATATCCTTTTCTGGCCTCGGCAAGTGGTGCACAGACAAATATGTAGACATAATACCCATACAGATTAAATAAGAATAGTTTTTAAAAATCCAATCTCATCTTAATATATTTTAAAAATTTTTATATTATGTGCACATGTATGCATCTGAGTATGTGTGGATATATGTATGTGTTTGCAGTGTCCACAGAGGTCAGAATAAGTCATCCCCTAGAACTAGAGAGATGATGTAAGCCAACAAGTGGAACCTCTTAGCCACCTATTCATCTCCCCAGTACCAAAAAAGAGATTTTTTTAAAAAAAGAAACAATGCACAGTAAATAGGTTAAGAAGCTTACACTTTTTCTATAAGTAATTACTGATAAAACAGTAATTTTCCAGTTCATTTTCCCTCGATAATCTACTATGCTTACAATTAAATCTAAATAATCACTTTGCCATTCTGAATGCAGCTCTTTCAGTAATGTACACGGAACTTTAAGAATTGAAATTTAGCTAAAACTCCTTTATTCACAAAACAGTTACTGCTTCTTTTCTATTCGCTGTAGTACTTTGAACATTCTAAAAAGTTTAAGTTCAGATCCTTCCACTTTAAAAGGACAGAACTCCTGCAATTCACAAAGGATATTAAAAAGTTCAGAAATGTTCAGTGTCAGAACAGAATCTACATTCTCCATGTTTTGACTCTTGTTCTTAGTTTCAACTACAACTTAGAAGTATAGTTATATGTTACACCAAAAATAAAAAGGAAAATTATTTAAATTAAAACTTTGTCTACTTTTTAAAGAGAAACATAATTTTATATATAAATAAGCAGAATTTTAAAATATACACTGTTTTGTTAATCTGATTTTCATAATACCAGATAAATAATTTCATGTATGAAAAGGAGAAGAAAACAATTACTAGTTGGATTATTGATTACATTTTATATGCTCTTTTTAACTGAAACGATAGGAAAAAATATAAGTAAAAGATAGATTCACATTAAAATATCATTCCAAAACAAGTCACTACCACAGATGCTATTTTATGTTACTATTAATAAATCTAAAAACTATCAATAGTCATACTGTAACCACGAAGTTTTACAAATTGTTTACCGTATCCTACCTTGCCAGAGGTTAAAATAAATTTATCAAACACATAATATAGTTCCTGGGAAGGGAGGTTATCATCATCATCAATAAAGTCAGAAGGAGCTTCTGTAGCTTTGCAGTTGCAAGAGGTAGCAGATAAGTTGTTGCACACAGTCTGATGTGAACTCTCCATCTCTAAATTCGATCTGCAGTCTATTCCAGCAGATTCAGCTCCATCAGGGGACCCAATGCAATTACACTGGCTGAGTACCTTTTTTAAAGAAGTTTCTGATGGTGTTAAATCACCTTGTTTCTCAGCTGGTTTTTGCTCCAATTCACTGCCTTCCCTGGCAGTAGAAAGAGATGAAGAATCTTGTCCATGGTCAGCCAAACCTAGTTCATTTACCAACAAACTGTCATTGTCAACGATACATCTCTGTGATGTAAGTTCCATTTCATCAGATTTAGCAGATTGATCTTTCTCTGTGTTTACTTTTTCTGTGCTTTCCCCAAGAATGCAACAGTTGGTTGCCAAACAATCAGACTTCACTGGTTTCTTATTGCTTAATTTCCCCTTCTCTTTTTTCTTGAAATCCACTGTAGATTTATTTCCACCCTTCCTTTGAGGACAAGCAAAATACCGATAAGCTGCCCTGAATCTCTCCACAACATATTCATAAACAAGCTGGCTGTTTAAGCTCCGTGCAACATTCCTCTTGACTGAAAATGGATCTAGTAAAAAAGAAAATGATCAATGGCTAAGTTTCTGCTAACAAATTATACTTCCATGCTTACATAAACAAATCTTAACTGCTGCAATGTCAACAGAGAATATGTTCCCAAAGCTTTCTAACCCAGGGTCCAAATAAATTCTTAAAAAAAGCATAAGAAAGACAAATGTGGTATCTTTGGTTTCTTCCATAAAATCAAAAGTTAAAAGAGAAAAAATAATTTATAAAAGAATCGCTACAATCAATTCAAAAATCAGTTTCAATCAAGATATTACTAGAAACTGTGATATTCTGCTTCCCCATACACTGTCACTAAATGAAACCTTTCAAATTCCAGCACTCTTCATTTCTTGCCATAGTATCTTTTTGAACAAGGATCTCACTCTTATAGTCCAAGCTGAAAAGAAACTCATTGTGGCAATTCTCCTGCCTAAGCCTCCAAAGTGCTATGACTGAAGGCATGAAAAACTACATCTGGCTTTTTGTTATAGCGTAATTATGTGCTTGGGATCTGATGTCGAACCAGTTATCATTTTCTTTAGCATACCCAAGGGATAAAGTTTAGAACACAGTGTTAGATGGTAAGGACCACGACACTAAACAGCTCACACATACACAGCATATCATCTCACCTTCAATGGCTATTCGTCTTTTAGGCCAGTTTTTGTTTTCTCTTGTTAGAACATCTTGTATCCGTACACATATGACATATTCCTCCAAAGCAAAATCCAGTGTGTAAAATTTTAGTAACTCCAGCCACAACTGTCCCAAGGGTACCTGATTTGGTGCTTCCAATGTTAAAGGAGACTAGAAGAGAAAATACTTTTCATTATTTATGTTTCTCAAAACTATAAAATCAGTAAGTTGTTAATTAGAAAAAATTTAAGTGATTATGTTTTCAAACAGGCATAACAAAGCATTATCAAAAGCAAAAAAAAAGTCAGTTTGAATTACAAAAATCCAAGGAATTCTGTGCTTTTTCATTAAGCCAGTGACTATCAAGTTTGACTGCACAAAACAATCACCAAGTGAGCATTAAATTCCGTATCACTTCTAGGAATCTGATTTAACTGATCTGGGATATCCAGACTGATATCCAAAGACTAGGGTTTCTGTATGTGTGAGCGTGTGGGATGAGAACACTGTGGATGGAACCCAAGGGCTTGCACAATGTTAAGCAAATGCTCTGCCACTGAGGTACATCTCCAGTCCTTGTAGTTTTTTTGTTGTTTTGCCTTTTAATCTTTCTTGTATTTGTTTTATTGACTAGATGTGTGAGCCTGAGACAAAGTTTCACCCTGTAATGCAAACAAGATTGTAGCATAAGATACAACCTCCCAAGTACTAGAATTACAAGCACCACACCTATCCTTTAAATTTTTTTGAAGCTCTTGAATGTTAAGGTGGGATTTGGGATAATCTTTTAAAAGAAGTCAAGGTTCTTGCCTTCATGGAGCTTATAAGAAGAGAACAAACATGCTTTGACTGGTAGACTAAATTATAAGTTAGAAGCAGCTAAGTACCATGGCGGGGGAGGGGGGGAAGGTGAGTTGACCATAACAAAAGAGATGGAAATAAAGGAATAGAAAAAAATTAAGTGCTAAACTGAGTGTCAGGATCAGTTTTGTTGAGAAATCCTGACCTGATGAAAAGAGAAATGTGTTCTAAGAATGGGGAGCAGATACACACACATAACACCAAAGAGTGACTAGCTTTAAAAAGAAAACCATGTGAATTTCAGCAACACAGGAAGGAGAGAAAGTGGAGGAGGAAGACGCGGAGAACAAAAGAGAAGACTGAAAGCTAGTGTAGTAGAAGAAAACGGAAGAAGCAAAGAGTGATCCAATGACTACTTGATTTTTCTATACTAAATGAAATGAGAAACAAACTGATAACATTTTTGTGCAAGGACAGACAAGGGCAATAACTGACTTAACCTTTTTATGGCCACCCAGATTACGATGATGCTAAGTATAAAGGTCAGAGTACATGCAGGAATTATCTGTTAGAAAACAGTGCAAAAATCCAGGCCAGGATGACAGTGGCTAGAACTAGAATGGTAACACTACGCAGTAAAAGGTGATGCTATTCTAGATATATTTTGAAATAAAAATAACAAGATTTAAGAATTTTTAATATACCTTATATAGGATTTTCAAGAAAGAAAGGAATAAAGAATGTTTCTGAAGTTTTAAGCTGAATGCTTAAAAGGATGAAGCATTATCAACTGATGAAACATGAAAGACTTCCTTCCAAATTTGAGAGTAATATCCAAAGTTCAGTTTAGACATACCTAGATACATAAGAAGACACTAACTAGGCTCCTACAGATAGCACTAAAAATCAAAAGGATTGGACAGGATCACTACCACAGGAAAGAAGATATATCAGAAAAAGGCAGATTGGTTCAGAGATGGTTCAGCAGTTAAAAGCACTGGTTGCTCCTCCAGAGGACCCAGGTTCAATTCCTAGCGCCTGCATGGAAGCTCACACCTTTTTGTGACTCCAGTGCCAGCAGATTTGGTTTCCTCACACAATACATTCAGGCAAAACACCAATGCACATTAAGTCATAATAAATTAATAAATCTTTTAAAAAAAGAAAAAGAGAGATCATAAATCAAGCTCATAGCATTTCAACGTTAACTAACTGGAGAAAAAAATGAATTAGCAAAGAAAAATCTGAAATGGACTAAACAGCTACAGGTGTGGTGTGCTGAAATTATTATCAACTGGAAAATGTTGCTATTACAAAGATATAATTTTAAGAGACCATAAAATTTGACAAAATAGAAGCTAATAATACAGGTTTTGGCAGATTGATAATGTGAGTTAAAGAGACACAGAAAAATGAAAATCATGAATAGAAGCAATTCTATTTAGTTTACTACAAAGGGAAACCAAGAATAGATGGGAGGGAAGGTACTTAACATTTTTCTTTAAAATGAGAGAAATAGAAGAATGCTTGATTAAAGAATGAAAAGTTGACAATTTAGGAAGGAAAGAAAATTGCTGAAGTAATATATCCTGAAATAATTCAGAAGGCAATGGAAAAGATACCTTTAGATTATGGCATGGGAAGTTCCTTTAGAAATAGACGAAGCAAGGAAGAATCTGAGTAAAAATGACAGAGATGATAGTTGAGTGTGTAGTCCTCTTTTGATTGTTTCAGTAATCTCAGAAAACTAAAAAGCAAGATCATTAACTGGGAGCACTAATGCTCTGAGAAAAAAGTAGAAGGTAGTTGAAGAAAAAGAAAGATAACTCTAAAATAATGAAGTAAATCCAGAGAACTACAACAATTCAATGTTAAATAGAGCAATCATTTCAAACAATAGTGCACATATTCTTGGAATACTACAAGTGTATGAAGGACACGATCCATGTATATTTGCCTATGGTTGTCTAGCACTCAAGAAAATGCCTGGAACACAGGAGGTCTTTAATAAATGCAAGCTGAATTGATTAACTGAGAAAGTCATCTCACAGAGCAAAGACTTTTTATTTGTCTACCCAATCTGGCCACATAATTCACATTTTGCTTAAACTTTAATTAAAACTTAACCCATTAAGGGGATTTTGCTGGTTTAAATGAAAAAGGAAACAGAATTACCTTGATTTAACTTAAACAATACGTATGTTTATTAGAAAATCTCAGACCAAAAACTAAACCAGATCAACCCCTCACTGTATAGATGAGGAAAATGAGGCCAAGAGGTCAATCTACTAGTAGTCAAATAGTTTCACTTGAAGGTATTCATAAGTTCTACAGAGAGAAAAGTTAAAAATAAAAAACAAAAAGCTTACTTTGCCATGTTTTTCCTTCATGGCATTACTTTGGTTGTCTGTTTCTGTCTTCTTGGTATCATCTTTTGGTTGGTCTGCCTTAGCTTTGTTTTCATCAGCAATTAAGTTTTTCTCAGTTGCACTACTTGAATTATACTCCCATTTCACAAACTTCTCTTCTACTATGCCCTTCAGCTGAAAGTCATCCATTCTTTTTGGGTCAAAGCCTTCAATCTATATAAAAAGGCATTCCAAATTGGTAGTAGAAAAATTATTTTTAAAAAAAGAAAGAGAAAGAGGAAAGAAAAGATAGAAAAACCAGAATTTCACCTTAAAATGCTTGAGCACAACACTCAGCAAAAACTATATATACATTATATAGTATTATATATATAATATACATTATATATATATACACATATACATCACAAACTCAAGCTTACCCAACTTCCAAGTAAGCAAGGAAGAAGAGGAGGCTTTCTTTGTTGAAGAAAAAACATCACCATTAAAGCAAAACAGTAAGAAGGGATTCCACCATCAGTTTGGGAGTCAATATAGCACAACTGCAAAATAGAAAAGAAGAAATTCCTAGCATTTAGCTTTCTTCAATTTTCATAGTACAAGCAGCTCATGCTTTACGGTTAAAAAAAGTTCAAAAAACAATGAAACTTAAGAAATAATCTGAAATATCACCATTCAGAATGTATTACCTCATGTTCCTAGTTACCTGCACATATAATCCACTCTGATGGAAGACTTCATTGTGTAGCCTACACTTGAAATTGCAAGCATCTTGCCACCCACCACACACACAATTAGTGCAATTACAGGTATAAACTACCACATCAGGCAAGAAAAATCTTTTTAGAATTCAATGATCTAAGCCGGGCAGTGGTGGCACACACGTCTAATCCGAGCACTCAGGAGGCAGAGGCAGGTGGATCTCTGTGAATTCGAGGTCAGCCTGGTCTACAAGAGCTAGTTCCAAGACAGACTCCAAAGCTACAGAGAAACCCTGTCTCGAAAAACCAAAAAGAACCACACACAAAAAAAAAAGGAAGAAAGGAAGAAAGGAAGGAAGGAAGGAAGGAAGGAAGGAAGGAAGGAAGGAAGGAAGGAAGAAAATTCAATGATCTCTTTTTAGATGTCAAACACTGCTTAGAAAATAAAAATAAGGCTGGACAAATTGGCACACACCTTTAATCCCAGTACTTGAGAGGTAAACAGAGGTGGATCTCTGTGAGTTTGAGGCCAGCCTGGTCTACATAGTCAGTTCTAAGACAGAGAATATAATAGAGACCCCGTCTCAAAGAAATCAAAATTAAAAATAAAAACTTAAAGTTTAAAGGTTTAAATTTTAAATACAATTCTTTAACTAAAAATTAAGAAAACCAGGTAGCTTGACTAGGATTTACATATGATAAAACTAAATAGCTTTATTACCTTGATTTAAAAGGTTTTATCTATAAAACTACCTATTACCAGAACTCAAAGAATGTATACTAACTACTCAAAAGAAAAGAGACTGACCTTAGTGCTCATACTTTCAAGTTAAACTACATAACAACTGATGCCACACGGATCGCTACTATCTAAGAGGGTCTCCTGTCACTGATTTTTGATCTGCCATCTGACCCCAAAGAATTAAGTCTTCAGTATTTTGAAGCACAAATTCTTCTTACTCCATCCTGTCTGGGGTACATCCTACCTAAATAGCCAATCTACCAGCCTATTAGAGAGCCAAAGTTATGGCTAGATACTCTCCATCTCTGGGACACCTTATCATGCCTTTTGCATCCCCACTCATCTCCTCTGTCTACAAGACTGAGCTCTCATGAACCATCTCTAAGAGTGAATGCTGTCACTATGGTCCTGAGTGCCAGTCTGTCCATAGTCTAGGTCAACTACACTAGTCAACTGCCACTCCAAGTACAAGATGAAACTCTACCACAAGTTCTACTTTCTAGAGTTACTATGCCTATGACTTGAAATGCCATTTTATCTACAACCCCAACAAAGACCTGGCTATCACAGCTACCCTCCATGTGCTGTATCAAAGCATTGCTGTGGGATAAGGCTCTTGTACACTGTAGAAATTTGTCATTCATACTGGTTAATAAAACACTGATTGGCCAGTAGCCAGGCAAAAGGTATAGGCAAGGCAACCAGACTAGAATTCTGGGAAGATGAAAGGCAAACAGTCAGTTGTCTTCAAGAAACAAAGGAAGCAAAATGAGAAAGCCTTGCGAGCAACATGGCTAAACATAGATAAGAATTGTAGGTTTAATTTAAATTTTAAGAGGTAGTTAGTAACACGCCTGAGCAATAGGCTAAACAGTTTATAATTAACATAAGCCTCTGTCTGTTTATTTGTGACTAAATGCTTGTGGGACTTGGAGGATCAGAAACTTCCATCTACAAAGCATGACCTTCTCTGCCCTGCCATCAATCAGGTCACTGAACCTTACCACTAGCATCAGACCTGGCAGGAGGTCCCTTTTCTCACACTCTTTCTTGCCCTCCAGTTCTATACCACCACTCAGGAAGAACATGAACAAGGAAGTCAGGACTGTGAGGGGTGCATCCACCCACGGAGACGGTAGGACTGATCTAATGGGAGCTCACCAAAGCCAGCTGGACTGGGACTGAATGAGCATGTGATCAAATCGGACTCTCTGAATGTGGCTGACAAGGAGGACTGACTGAGAAGCCAATGATAATGGCACTGGGTTTTGATTCTACTCCATGGACTGGCTTTTTGGGAGCCTAGTCTGTCTGGATGCACACCTTCCTAGACATGGATGGAGGGGGGAGGGCCTTGGTCTTCCCACAGGGCAGAGTACCCTGACTTCTCTTAGGACTGGAGAGGGAGGGGGGAAGGAAATGGGAGGAGGGGAGGAGGTGGAAATTTTTAATAAATAAATAAATTTTAAAAAAATGGCTAGAGTTGATCCAGAAGTTAAGAGCACTTGTCCTTGTATAGGACCTGGGTTTAATTCTCAGCACCTGTGGCAGCTCTCAAGCTTCTGTAACTCCAGGAAACAGGGGTTCCAACACCCTCTTCTGACCTCCCCAGATTCCAGGCACCTAACATACACACGGTAGCAAAACACTTGTACACATAAAGTTAAAAAATTTTTAAAAATATATAAATATATAAATTAAACAGAAAATTCCAAAAGTAAATAATTTACAAGCTTCAAATAACTTAATGCACTGCACTGTCATAAAATTCCTATTTTATTCTCTTATCTTACCACAGATGTGAATAAAGGAGAAACCAGTATGTATAATGGCTCAAGGTCATCAACAGTTTCAACTGGAAAAGGGAACTTGCTACATGTCTATGAAACTTTATCTAATGCCCATGATGAAACCACACACGATTTTCTGTACGCGACAGACAACTATTTCCTCCTACGTTATAATATTTATTAGAACAAGAAAAGGCTCGACTTATTTTCTTCTGTTCTACTTACCTTAGCCCAGTAGCGAAAGGCTAACACTAAGGGAGTGAAGACAGGCTCCACTTTGCCAAGAGCAGCAAGTAAGTCAGTAGTGAGACATGCCATATCATTTCCAGCACTCACTCTACAAAGTAAACCACTGTGAATGAGAAACAAATTTTGTTGAATTAATACCTTTAAAAGCAAAATGCTTCAAAAACCCTGAGGCTATCTTTTTCAGTCAACATATTTTAATAACCAGAAAAGTTACTGTAGGAATGGAGAAATAGTTCAGCAGTTAAGAGCCTGTAAAATACTGCAGCTGTTTCTAGTATCCACAAGATATACATATGATAGCAATTGTTTTCAGTCATAGCAAAACATTTTTTTCTGCTCCTATACTTATTGTGTATGAACATATGTGTGCCATGATATATATGTGGAAGTCAGAGGAAATTTGTGGAAGTTGGTTCTTTGATTATACCATGTGGGTCCCACATATCAAACTCAGATGGTCAGGTTTGGAGACAAGCAACTTTATCCACTGAGTCATCTTATAAGCCCACATTTTTGGACCATGGAAGGACAGGATTTTGCTATAAAGCCCAAGCTAAGATTACAAGCCCAAGCCTACCAATGACACTAACATATTCAATGTCAATTAGCATAGTTTGCTTTAACATATTCAATGTCAATTAGCATAGTTTGCTTCTCTTCTAGTTCATTCTTTTGGGGGGGTGGCCTTTTTTTGTTGTTGTTTTTCGAAACCGAGTTTCTCTGTAGCTTTGGCACCTATCCTGGAACTCACTCTGTAGATCAGAGGGAGGGATCCGCCTGCCTCTGTCTCCTGAGTATTGGATTCAAAGGTATGCACTACTACCACCCGGCTTCTAGTTCATTCTTTATGGTTTTGTATGATAAAATTTTTAAAAAAATTAATTTAGTACCCATACTTCTCAACTCTAATTTCTTATTCAAATTTTCATAGTTTTGTTGCTACTTTCAAGTTAAGGAATGGAATTTACTTATTAATCCACAACTTATGCTTTTGTTCAGTGAAAAGAGGAGCTACCTTAAGAATGAGAGGAATACAGTGGAGAGTTATCCAAGGAAAGGGAGGGTAGCAGCAAAAAGAAGAATGAAGCTGAAGCTGTCACATACAGGCAATTTAATACATGAAAAACAGTTTTCTGTTTTGTTTTGATGTACTAGAAGTCAAATGCCTACAATCCAGTATTGATTTTGTCTTAGATATAAATCTGGACAAATGCTTATCCTCTCCCAGTCTCAATATTCTAACTTAGAAAATAAGAAAGTTGGGCTGGCAAGATGGATTACCTAGCCAAATAAGCCTTAAGACCTCAGTTAAACCCTTTAGAACCAATCCTAGTATCCATGCAATGCTTTGAAGGAGAGAACTAACATTATAAAGTTGCCTTCTGACCTCCACACGTCATGGGACACAAATGTCTACACATAAACACACCATAATACAGAAATACTTTAAATTCCAAAATAAGAAAGCTGAACTAGATCTCTACAAAATCTTTTGAATTTGAATAAAAAAAAAAAACCACAATCTTACATTACAAAAAAAAACAACTTAGTAATCAACAGAAGAACATTTAACCATTTTTGTACGTTTCTTCCATGTTAAATCTCAAGTTGTATTTAGTTTCTTTTCGTCCTTCCTTTTTTTTTTTTTTTGATTTTCTGAGACAAAAACTCACTATGTAGTCTTGGCTGGTCTGGGACTTGCTATGTACACGGGGCTGGCCACAAAATCAGAGACGCCTGCCTCTGCCTCCCAAGTGCATCACCACACCCAGTACTTTTACCCTCTCAGTCCTACAGATAACTGACTAGAAGAGCAATGAGTCATGCTAATTAAATGAAAACTACATTGTAAGTAAAACATTTCCTACATTATTTATCTTGTATTCGTATGTACACATGCATGCACATACTTAAATGGAGGTCAGGAGACAAATTCAGGAGTCAAGTGTCTCTTTTTACCAGGTATGTCTCACAATAAGCTCAGTTCTTCAGGCTTGGCAGCAAGTTCTCTTACCTACTAAGTAATCTCACCAGCCCCGAGATTATAACAGGCAGTAAAATCTTATCAAGAGAGGCTACTTCAGCCAGGCGGTCAGTGGTGGTGCAGGCCTTTAATCCCAGCACTCAAGAGGCAGAGGCCAGAGGATCTATGTGAGTTCAAGGCCAGCCTGGTCTACAAGAGTTAGTTCCAGGACAGGTTCTAAAGCTACAGAGAAAACCTGTCTCGAAAAAACAAAAAACAAAACAAAAAAACAAAAAAGGGTGGCTATTTATTTTTATATCTCCAGAGCAATATAGCATTTACACAAAAGTAAATGCTCTTAGTATTGATGGGTGAATAAATGAATTTAGGCAGAGAAAGAGAGGAGGGGGGAGAGCAAAGAAAAAGAAGAAAAAAAGGAAAAGAAAATGGAGGGGAGGGGAATGGGAAAAGTTTTACCTAGAGTGCTTTAACTCTGCTGACTCAATTTCTTGTTCACATGCATTTGGTGTGCTTTAAATAAATGACAACTCATATAGGCGTATTAACCTAATGAGAAATCTAAGATATACAATTTCTTATTTTGGAAATGTTTGAAACAAATTTGGTTCCTTTTCAAAAAAAAAAAAATAATGGGATGTGTGTATGCACAATGGCTTACATGGGATACAAAGAGTAGAACTCAAGCTTGTCAGGTTTATGTAGCAAATGAGTCATCTTGCTGGCGTGTGCGTGTACTAACATGCATGGGTACATTCACATGTGTGTGGTGGTCAGATTCATGGTATCTTTGACTATTTTTCTCCTCCTTTTTGTTTAATAGATCTCTCATTGAACCTGAAGCTAAACATGCTGGATAGACTGGCTGCTCAAGAAGACCCTATGATCTCCCTGTCTTTCAAAGAAGTAGGATTGCCTAGCTTATTATCTCGGTGCTAGGGATTCAGACTCAGGTCCTCATGCCTCATACTTGTGCAGCAAATCCTTTATTCACTGAGCCATCTCCTCAGTCCAAGTTTGTTCATTTTTATAAATACCTTCTTTTCTTCATTACCAACCTTTTCCGATCCTTGCACACCACAACAGGAACTTTAGCATGAAAATCAGATTCCACATCTACATATAATGCTAATAAGAGGAGAGGGGGTAAAAGTAAGTTAATGTCAGCATTGCTAAGCATTCATTAGTAAACAGTAAGTAACAATTTCATTCTAAAAATCCTTCTCATTACTTCTGTGGGATAACATACTCTTCTAATTATGAAAATAATAAAACCCCAAAGAATCTCTTACCTCTTCTGGAGTCATTTCTTGTATACCATAAACCACAAGTATAGTCTTAAATACCATTTGAAAATTAGAGGCACCTTAAGAAAAAGGGCTTTTAACATCCCTAAATGTTTGAATATTCCCAAATAAGTAGTCAAACTTCACAGATACACAGCAAAGAGAGTACATCACTTCTGAGGGCTATAGTTATAGGAGATGGAGAACTTTGCCATTCAAGTACAACTCTAGGCCTCACCCAATTAATATTTCTAAAATCTGACTAATGAAAGATTCTTAGAAGGAATTAATGAGAGTGGGGTGGCGAGCAAAGCCTATCACCAAAATAGATCTCAAGTCATAAATATCTACTTCAGAGTCTGGGGAGATGGCCCCACAGGAAAATTCAACCTCTAGTACCCATGTGCTGGAAGGGGAGAACCAATTCCTACAAAAGTTGTCCTCTGACTTCCAAATGCATACAAGCACACATCAACCCACAAGCATGCACAGGGACATAAAATGAATTGAACTTAAAAATTAAAAACAAATACTTTAAGATAAATAGATTGATATTTCATTTGGGGAAAAAAACCTCAATGAAAATCTCCAGTATTATCTGATAAGATAATTACCAATTTAAAAATATGTACTGGAAAAACATTATGTCAGAAATACTGTAACATACAGTAAATATGGCAGTAACTTATGACACGAAAAGCTCAACGAGGGATTTGGAACACAAATACAAAAACAAATCTTGTAGATGATAGGTTTCTAGAGGATGAATGAGGACATTAAGTGAAACATAATTTTAAAAAATTAGAAAAAGCTTTTAAACCTATATTATATGAGTGAAGATGATCTCTCATATGAAAAAGGTATATTTTTAATAGTTATAATGGGCTGACATTTCTCGGTAACTCTCAAGAGATAAAAGCCATTATTATGTCTACCTCCTATGTTTACCTGTTTTATATTTTTAAGTTTTTGTGTAATTAGAAACAAGTATTTATTAATAAAAGCAACTCTACTGAAATATCCCTACGTCATTCCTTAAAAACTAATTTCCCAGAGCAATGGTCAATAAGAAGCTCATAAATAATAAGTTAATAAGATGACTCAGATAAAAAAGGCCCCTGCCTCCAAGCCTGATAATCTGAGTTCAATTCCAGGGACTAAAAGAGCTAACATGGGTGTGTGTGTTGTGTGAACTGAACCCAGGTCCTTGTTTAAGAACAATTGCTCTTAGCCGCACAGTTATCTCTGTAGCCCTTCCTCATTTATAAATCTCATTCCATTCTCAGTAACTCCATCAATTTATCTTTTAGTAGCTTTTTAACTTTCAGGTTGTTAGCTCTTATCTGTCCATAACTCTAGTTCCAGGGAATCTGACACCCTCTACTGACCTATGCAAGCACAAGGCACACACATGATGTTTATATATGCATGCAGGTAAAACATCATATGCATAAATTAAGGAAATATTCTTTAAAGAGGAATTGTTTGTTTTTAAATGTTCCACCTGATTTTCAGATTGTAGTTAAATGCAGGTTAACTGAAACCACAGAAAGCAAAACTGAGATAGGGACTGGACTATAGTTCACTGACAAAATATGCATCTAGTGCAATGCCCCGGGTTGCATCCCTCGCACTAAAACAAATACATAAATAAGTAAATCCTGCAGATAAGGAGAGGCTACTGTATTGAAAGCAATTTTTAGTGCTCCAAGTCCAATAACAATTTTTAATTATCAATTTTGACACAGTACATCTGACTTAACAGGTCAATTATATTTCTAGAGACACCTACTATAAATATAAATGTATATTTATATATGTATATGTGTGTGTGTGTGTGTTGTATGTGTGCGTGCATACTCATACATGGTAGCAATTTTAACTTGGTTAGCTATATGCAAGTCAACACAGTGCCTATACTTTTAAAAAAATTTTATGAAAGAACAAAAGGCAAGAACTTACTACTTTTTTTCAAAATTCCAAGCACTTGTATTAGAAGATCTGGATGATTCATCTAAAAAGTTTCATTAAAACAAAGAACAAGTAGCAGGACATTAGTGAGAACTCAATTTGATTAAAATAATACAATTAGAGTAGTATTTTTACTTTATGTCAACAAATCTTGTTCAGAGGAAGTACAATTACAACAAATGCTGAACTATTTATTATTCAAGGAAAATAGAAACCAAGTTTACCAAATGACTATTAAATAAACTAGAAATTTAAAATACCAAATTTTCATTCAAATCAAATATTTGTGAGCAACAAAAAAAGTATTTAAAAAAAATTAAACATTGTTCTGGCTCTTTTATGACAACTTGACACAACTTGAACCAAATTTAGACAAGCCTGTAGTGTTTCCCCTACGCCTTGATTGATGTGGTGGCATTCATGGGCTAGTGGTCCTGGGTGCTATAAGAAAGCAGGCTGACCAAACCATGAAGTGTAAGTCATTAAGCAGCACTCCCTTCAGGGCCTTAGCTTCCGTTCCTACCTACCTGGAGTTCCTGCCCTGACTTCCCTGGATGAAGGACTACAAGCTGCTAAAATGAAATAAATGTCTCCAAATTGTTTTGGTCATGGTGTTTTATCATAGACCCGAAACTCTAAGACAAACATGAAATTTTGACTACTAACTTTTAAAAAATTGCATTATTGTATGTGACAGGGTGGAGTGTATGTCACACAGCCACCATGTGAGTCCAGAAGACAACACATAGAATTAGTTTCTCTTTTCAAGTGGATGTGGGTTCCAAGGATTGAACTCAGGCCACCACGTCACCAGGCTCTCTTTTACCCATTGAGACATATTGCCAGACCTTAATTGACAATTTTCAATATTTGACTTGACAAAAATTAGCATTGTTAATGCCAAATATTATTGACATTTGATAATAATAGTACCTCACTATTAGTTCTTATAAGTGTTTATCATTTACCAGGCTATATGTGTATGTTCATCTCATTTAATGTAAAAACTGGTCCAGGTGTGATGGACCACTTTTAATCCCAACACTTGGCAGGCGATCTGAGTTTTAAAGCCAGCCTGATCTACACAAAGAGCTCCAGAACCAATCAGAGCTACATAGTTGAGACCCTGCCTCAAAAGCTGAAACAGTATCCCTTATTTGGAAGATAAAGATGGAACTCTAGTAGAATACGGTCCAGGCTCTTAGAAATACTGTATTGTGGCCCAATGTGCCTGTAACAGCAACATTCAAGAGGCAGTAGCAGGAGAACTACAGCAAGTACAAGGACACCTGGAATATACACCAAGTTCCAGTCCAGGATAAATAGGGAAATTTTATCTCAAATAACCAAAACCAAAAAAAATATGTTATTTATCCCGTGTTGTAAAATTGAGGTAAACAATGTTCAAAGAGATCAAGCAACCTGTTTTGTTTTGTTTTGTTTTGTTTTTAGTCAGGTTTTAAACTTAGCTTTCTGGTTTCTATTTTTCCACTTTTTAATACTGCTTACCCAAAGTAGTCAACAAGCTCAAATGTAAGCACTTTTCCCTTTTATTATTTTCCTCTTTTGACTTTTTTCTCCCACCTGAATGTTTTTATTCTCCCTATTTGAAATGTAAGAGTAACTTTTTGGAGGGTGGGGGGAGGGGTTTCGAGACAGGGTTTTTCTGTGTAGCCCTGGCTGCTCTGGAACTCACTCTGTAGACCGGGCTGGCCTCAAACTCAAAGATCTCCCTGCCTCTGCCTCCCAAGTGCTGGGATTAAAAGGCATGCACCACCACTGCCCAGCATTAAGAGTAACTTAAAAACACTGTTTAGTCTTCCTGGTCATACTCAATAATTCAAAGGTTTTTTTTTTTTTTCCTTCCTACCACTTTTCTAAAAGATAACCCATAAGTACCATAGAAAGAAGATTCTTTTTTAATTACTTACCTTGGGAGGAAATTTTATATCTATATTAACATCACTGTTTTTTAGAGCAAACTTTGTCAGAGATGAACCATACAACCTCAGTGAACATTCTGGAATAAAGAAAAAACACGAAAGTATGAAACTGCAAATATGAGTATTTTTTAAAATATTGGAAAACTGGAAACATGACTCAGCAGTTAAGAGCACTTGCTGCTGTTCTTACAGAAGATCAGAGATCAGTTTCCTGTACCTAAATGGTGGCTCATAACCATCTGTAACTCCAATTCCCAGGTATTCAATTACCTCTTCCAACCTATCAGGCATTTACATATACATTCTAAACATGAAATAAACAAAAACACCAGGAAAACTATACATAACTTCAATCACATAATTATGGCATAATGATTTTCACAAAATTGACATCCTTTCTAACTGGATGGGTATTATGGGTACAAGAAGAAAGTACAAGGAATAAAAACCTACCAGAAAAGTTCACTGTTCAAATTGAAACAGTTCATTCAGAATGAAATAATAATCAAAGATTATTTAACAAAAGCACTCATCTAGCAATGTTGCTGTCACAAAATCTATTTATTATTTTAGATGCTTATAATAAGAACCAACTTTAAAAAAAGGATCATTCAATACAAATGCTTTTCAAAATACAAAGCAACTCCAAGTCAACTGATATTGCAAACTTTTAAACAGAAAAAAATTTGTGGCTATCAAGAGTTCTTACTTAGCACAAGATAAACAGAACCTACTTGGCTAGATTGTTCTCAAACTACCGTATGGATTTACCTAAATGTCAAAGAAAAAAAAATAGACATCAACCTATACTTGTGTAAATGTATCAAATAAACCTAAATTCATACCACCTTGAACCAAAAAATAAATTAATGTTTCCCTATCATAAAGCAATAAAAATGTTATTTGGTGATATTATAATGTTTGTACTGAAAATATATAAAGTAAATGTTAATCCACTTAGAAATCAATGATAATCAGGGGCTCAGTACTCAAGAATATTTGCTGCTCTTCCTGTGGAACCAAGTTCAGATTCCCAGCACCCCCATCACGAAATTCACAATCACCTGTGGAACTCCAGCTCCTAACACTTTCTTCTGGCCTCTGTAGGCATCTGGCACATGTGTGGAATACATACATATATAAATATTTTTTATAATAAAACTCAATCTTAAAAAAAACCTCATAAACCAATGTAAAATATATCTGACCAATAAGTAATTACCCACATTTGATATTTTTAAAAAATCTATTTCTCATACCACAAAAATTATACTACTTTTTTTTTCTTAAAAGAAAATACTAAAATAAAAGCAATTCCTAGAGAGTGAGATGTTAAAAGTGCTTATTCCCTGAGTAACTGGGGTGAATACCAGACCACATATGGTGGAAGGAAAGAAGTATTCTGATTCCACACTTACATGCCAGGCCATACACATTCACAAACATACAAAAACAAAAAAATTAACATACAAAAAATGTCATTCCTAAGACACTCAAATCTGTCTATTTTAAGAAGCAAAAGAAATAGAAAGGGGCAGGGCAGTGGTGGCATATGCCTTTAATCCCAGCTCTCGGGAGGCAGAGGCAGGTGGATCTCTGTGAGTTGGAGACCAGCCTGGTCTTTGGAATAAGTTCCAGGACAGCCAGAGCTACACAGAGAAACCCTGTCTCAAAAAGAAGAAAAAATATACATTAAGAAATTTACCCTAGTTCAAGAGGAAGTAAAGAAAAATTTTCTGATTATAATAAATATGTAAAATGGTCAGTACCTGGTAAATATGTCATTATAACCTTTGACATTTCCTCCACAATGTCCTGGCGGACTCTGAGGTCTTCATCTGTTATTCCTTGTTCTTTTGCTAATTCAATAACTGCAATACTTAAAGCAGCCAAGTGAGCAGGGGAAGGAGATGGAAGAGATCGCAGTTCACTTTCTTCCTGTTTTTCCTGTTAGTAGAATGTTTCACAACAATAAAAAAGTTCACATTTTAATGTCCTTACATTTAAAAAAGATAAACAGAAATAACAAATATTCACACGAGAAATAAAACATGTAATAAGTGAAGCAAAGAAAAACTTTTGCTTTTAGGACACAAGACTCAAGGAATTAAAGGTACGGCAATGGAGTTTATTAGTCAGATTTTTTTATAATTTGAAGAGTTTTTTGAGACTATAATTAAATCATTTTATTAATTTTTTAAAATCTGTTCTACTGAAACTGGAGAGATATCTCAGAAGTGTGGACTGCCTTTGTGAAGGATCCCATTCCAGTTTCCAGCACCCACATCCAGTGGCTCACAACTGCTTTTATAACTTAAGCTCCAGGGTACCAGATATCCACTCCTTGACTCTGCTAGAGTCATCATACACTTACATACTCACTCAGAAATAAATAAATATCAAATAAATAACCATTTTAAAAGACGAACATAACATTTTAAAAATTGTTCTACTGTATTATTGGCACAAATTCTGAAATTCTACATCTAAGCTAACACAGAGGTTCAACGCTCGACACATGATCCTGTAGCAACAAAGAGCAATCTTAGGTAAAAAGAAAAGTCAATCATCTGATCAACACAGGCGGCATCAAGTCAAGTGGTCATAAGAACACTCGCTAATAGACAAAGTTTATAGAATATTGGGTTTTATAATCAAAAATTGCAAAAGCTTCTATGGAAACACAGAGAACTACAACCCAGAATTTCTGGAAGATCAGGTAAGAGGATTCTTCTCAGACGTTATCTAAGCTGAGACTATATATTATTAGTATTACATTTTTAGAGAGAAAAATAGTTAATATACTTAGAAAAGTACTCTATGCAAATTTGTGTGAGATAATTTAATAAAAATAATTTTAAAATTACAAATTCTGAAGTGCAAATGTGTGAAGATTTCTGGTCTGTACTTCTCCAGTTTCATGTCACACCATCTTCCTTCTAGTTCTCTCCTTCCCTCTTACTAGATTTACTCACATCCTTACACACCATGTCCACTCTTCTCTGGAGACCTTTCTTTATAATGTTTTCATGCACCATATTTACTTTTTGCTTTTTAAACTACTATATCCAAGTTCAGCTCAAAGGTCACTTTCCAGAGAAACTTCCCTGTTCTAAATCAAGTAAAATGTCCATTTCCTTCACATTATTTCTCCCTCTACTAAGACTTACTGTACACAGACTGCTATTCACCAATGATTGGGAACAGGAACCATGATTCTTATTCACCATTATGTGCATCTAACAATCAGACAATGACTACTCTGGCAGAAGACAAGATAGAAAACCCAGAAATGAAAGGTGGAAAAAGCACCTCATCCCAGAGTCCAGTTGAAGAGACTTAGAAGTCAAATTTCCAGCACAGTAAATGTTTGCTATGAAGACTACAGAGATCATATTCATTTCATATATAGCCATTTTATATTAAAATAGCAAGTACACATGTGTACTGTGGCATGTGTGCCCATGTACAAAAAACAAATGTTATTAAATGTGAAAGAACTCTCAAAATAAAAGTCTTTGGGGCCTGGGAGGATGACTTAGTGTTAAGAAAGCTTGGTAAGCATGAGACCCTGAGTTCAGTCAAACATCCAATTTCACCTGAGTAGATGTACTAAAAGATTAAAGGGGCCGGGCAGTGATGGCACACGTCTTTAATCCCAGCACTCAGGAGGCAGAGGCAGGTGGGTTATCTGTAAGTTCGGGGCCAGCATGGTCTACAAAAGCAAGTTCCAGGACAGGCTCCAGAGCCTTCTCACTGTTGCTGCTGTTTCTGCTGAAAGATGGATAACCTGTACCTGACAGTTTTTATTTTATGAATCAATTTTCAGTATGATCAAACTGGTTCCTAGAAGGTTCCTTCTAATCACTGGAGATAAAGAGATTAATTACAGTTATTCAAGATTATCATTTCGTTTACTTCACACCTCACTATTAGGTTTGTTAGCTTTAAAATGGTCTAATACACTTTTACAATTCAAAAAGTAAAGTATTTTTAAAGATATTAACTTACCAAAATATTTTTTTTATGTCGTTTTTCCTTTATATGTTTATGTGCTCCTTGGATGTTTTCAATGTGAATTAAGCAAAGTTTGCATAGATAACGGCAATTGGTATATTCTGGTGATCGCTGAAGAAACAAATTTTAAAATACACTTTCTCAATAAACAAATAAACGACAGACTATATAAGTGAACAATCTTACTAACTTTAACAGGCCAAAACAGGTACCGAGGAGCTGTTGATGTAGTTCAGTGGTAGAATACAAGCCCACCATGTGCTAGGACTTAGGTCAGACACTCCCAGTATCACAAAAAAGAAAACAAGTAGGCATTGCAAGAACATGTGTTTTAGTAAATACCAGTGCTTAAGTACTCAAGAGATAAATGACTTTTTCAAAACAGTCATTATAGGACATTAAGTACTAACTTCAAATTATATTACAAAAATGCTAAATAGGCTTCTTGCTCCTCAATTTTTATTCCAATGGTATTCCCAAAATCAATTTCAAACTTAACTTTTGGTCTTTAACTTATGAAAAACAAAATGTACCCTTTTATGTTGAGATTTCAAATGAATGGATCACAACTATTCATTTTAATTTCAAAGGCTAAGTTTTAAAAATATTCCAATCAATCACTGTACCATGAGAATAAATGGATAATCTCTTGAGGTAACTAGTCAAGTCACAGTACTTCACTCATGATTTTATATGTTTCTCAAAATAATAAAACAATAATTACTAAATGCTTGCTAGAAACCAGACACTATGATAGATGCTTCATATATAAATTGTTCTTTTAATTCTTAAGAATCCAGGAAGATTAATAATATTTTCATTTTATAGATATGAAACCCATGGCGATTAGTGTAGTGATATTTTGTTTTAGCAAATAAAGCTTGCCTGAATATCAGAGTGCAGAGCTAAACTAAACCACTAGAGGTCAGGGAGTGGTGGCACACACCTTTAATCCCAAGACTGTGGAGACAGCAGAGAAATCTGTTAGTTCAACACCACCCTGAACTACACAAGATTAAACCTGTCTAAAAAGGAAACAGAGGGTTGGAGAGATGGTTCAGTGGTTAAGAGCATTGCTTGCTCTTCCAAAGGTCCTGAGTTCAATTCCCAGTAACTACATGAGGTCTGGTGCCCTCTTCTGGCATGCAGACATACACACAGACAGAATATTGTATACATAATAAATAAATAAATAAGTATTTTTAACGACATTCAAAAAAAAAAAGAAACAGAGCTCACACAAATGTAATCCCAGCAGTTGAGATCCTATGTCTTTGATCCCAGCACTAGGAAGGTAGAAACAGAAGTGATATGGCTGGGTCAGAGAGAGGAATAAGGCAAAAGGAGACAAGAACTCAGTCATTTGAGGTTTTGTGGAGACAGATGGAGTCTGGAGATGCAGTGAGGACAGAATCACCTTATGCTAGTATGGTAATCACTTTAGCCATTTGAGCCATCGTTTTGGTCCTAAAAAGGTTTTTATTTTTAAACTTCATTTTACTGTTCAAAAAATTAAGGTATAAAAGGTTAAATAGGAGGCTGGAGAGATGCCTCATGGGTTAAGAGCACTGGTTGCTCTTCCAGAGTACCCAGGTTCAATTCCCAACACCCTTTTGATGGCTTACAACCATATTTTTAAATACATATGTTGGGGAATATTATTTTCAGGTGTGTGACTTGTTTATTCTGCATTTTATTAATTGTAAAGCGCTGAGTCTTTACCTGTCTAAATACCTGAGGGTATTACTAAAGAAATAAACGGCCAATAGCAAGGCAAAAGCAAGAATAGGCAGGGCTAGCAGGCAGAGAAACAAGGAAAGAAGATGAAGAGAAAGAGAACAAGGAGAGGAGGACATCAGGGGCCAACCACCTAGCCATGGAGTAAGAAGAAAACAAAGGTATATAGAAATAGAGAAAGATAAAAGCCCAGAGGCAAAAGGTTGTCGGGATAATTTAAGCTAAGAAAAGTGGGCAAGAAACAAGCCAAGCTAAGGCTGGGCATTTATAACTAAGAATAAGCCCCCTTGTGTGATTTACTCGGGAGCTGGGTGGTAGGCCCCATACATAATTTATCTAACTTTATTTTATGTGCACTGGTGTGAAGGTATCAGATTCCCTGGAACTGAAGTAACAGATAGTTGTGAGCTGCCATGTGGGTACTGGGAATTGAACCTGGATCCTCTGGAAGAGCAGCTAGTGTTCTTAACAGTTGAGCCATCTCTCCAGCTCCAGCCCCACAAACAGTATGGTTTAACTCCAGTCCCAGGGGATCTCTTTCAGTATCTGCATGCACCAGGCACCTACATGATGCACAGACACACAAATACAGACAAAATACCCATACACATTAAGTTAAAAAAAAAGAAGGGTTAAATAGCATATGGATTGTTACCCACCAGTAAGTGACTGTGATAGACGCGAAAATCCACGTATGTACTAATATGCATACTAACTCTAATTTTGGACCAACTGCTATGCACTAATAAAATACCAAACAGGACGGGCAGTGGTGG